CTTGCGTTTCTTTATAATGATTCAGCGTTGTGGTTCACAACGTCACACCTGGGGCAACTGATGTCAATAATGACAAATTTCAAAGGCGGGTCTCGTTAGAGAATAGATCACCTAGTAAACATATCGTGTTTGTCGATGACAGTGGTAGAGATTGCATTGTGAATCACTTGGGATGTTTGTTCATCCTTTCTTAACTTGAACTAAAAATACAATTTCACATTATAACACATAGCACACACACACACACACACACACACACACACACACACACACACACACACACACACACACACACACACACACACACAACACACACACACACACACACACACACACACACCTCACACTACACACACACACACCACCACACACACACCACACTCTCCACACACACACAACACACACCAACCACACACACACACACACACCCACTCACACACACACAAATATATATATATATATATTATTACATATATAGTAATTTAGTTGTAATCAATGACTATTATCTGTTTATATGTGTGTGTGTGTGTGTGTGTGTGTGTGTGTGCGTGCATGCGTGAGTGCGTGAGTGCGTGCGTGCGTGAGTGCGTGCATGCGTGCGTGAGTGCGCATCTGTAAGCTTTCCGGTAGGAAAACGGATATAGAGTGGATAATGTGATGTTGGTTGATGTGAATAAATAAGGTTTGGTGAACCAATTAATAGCTGCTTTCAATATTGGTGCTTTAGGAGAAGATAAATGACCTAATTGAAAGGGTCCAATGAGTCATTGACATTCTATAGTTGCTTTGTCTCTAACGTTTTTTTAGTGCGGGTGCTATTAAACTAGCATAGGAGCTAAATTTTCGCTTTGATGTGCCAAACACGGCTGTTAATTAGGCTTTTAAATTAACTTGTGGCGCTAATAGGAATATATTGTTGGCAATTCTTTCGGGTTTAACACCTTTAAAAATTACCTTTCAATAATTTATTATCGAACAATGCCATATTCACATTTACAAAGTGCATATATATTATTTCCCTACTATACGCAGGGATATGTGTCTAGTTCTTAGGTAATGGCTGAACAACATATGTAGCTAAACACACTTTTTCCCAAACAAAAGTAAAAACATTTTATTTTATAAAATTTGTAAATGTTAATAATTATTAGATAGGTCATACGATGCACTCTTATTATGAACCTAGATTAGCTAGCATTGATACATTTTGTACAGGGTATCACGCATCTCCTTGTGCTAGCCTTTGCTCATTTTGTTGCATTAATTTATTTAGAAACTAAGCTTATAGCAAGCACTATGAGAACCTTAGATCTGCATTACAAAAAGCTGATGTCATTTTTTGTTCAATATGTCTGTCCTAATTAGCAAGTGGTAAATTTTCTCATAGTATATCGGGTTTGTTCATGTTTTAATTGAGGACATGCTCATCTTAATCGGATAAACTTACATGCAACTGCTATAGTTAAGTACTGTAATTAGATTACAAATTGCTGACGGAGAAGGTGGTCTTATTTCCGAATTCATGTGTGCGTTAGAAGAATTGTTGAATAATAAACAAGTTAATTTTATCAAACTTATAGCATTAAAATTTCCAGTAAAAAATCACGTGTGATAATGAACGATTCGTCATCGATTTTGCGATCTCGTGAATAGCTGTAATCGAAATAAAATTATAAAGCTATTCACTATTATTTAATGTATTCCATTAATGATTATATAATATATATGGACGATATTGTCGGAATTTGAGATCAAAACAGTAACAAAAATCGCTGAGACATGCTCCAGATTAGCTGAATAAAAACAATTAGAATTTAATATGAACAAAACAAATACAATGCTATACCAGTACCATACTACCATTCTGTGCACAACTCACCTTCTCAGTTCTCACTGTTCTCTCTCTACATGTACACATGGTTCACCAGTCACTACTTCTAGATTGCTTATTGTTTTATTACTCTGTAATAAACATACAGTATGAACGAGGACTACTGTGAAACGTACTCACCTGTATTATGACAACGTATCTCTAGGCAGCCCGTTGGTATAGGGTTGTAGTGAACAGATAACGCTGCACGGTTATGCAATTTTGAAAGTGACGTCATTCCAACCTCTGTGGTGAAATGTCCTGTGTTTTGCTGAAATTTTTACCTGTCGACGCACTCGTTCACTTCCGACAGCGAGTGAAAATAGAAGAAATTTTCCTCTTCGATGCGAAATGCATCGGCCGGGCATTTCATTATTTACGAAAAGTAAAAAGGTTGGCGAAAAACAGTAGGTACAGAACCTGGTCTATTTATATTATTTATTTATTTATTTATATTTATATTTATGTATGTTTTTTGTGTTATAGAGTTTGTGTTTGCATTATGACAATTATTCAAGGGCAGTTAATCTTCCTAAAGATTTAGTAAATAATCGTGTTTGTTTATATAAAGACAAAAATCGCTACACAACTTAGCTTACAATTTCTCTACACTATATATTTCTCGCACCAAAATGTGACCAAGTAAAAGTCCAAACGTGATTTTGGAGTAAAGGGGGTTACTGTATGACTGTAGAACTAAACGATACAGTCATTAGTCAATGCAATTGGCCATATAGATTCATTCCGTCTAGACACATTATGGCGGAAAACCTTCGCGATGTAATTACATACACACTCGTTCACGCAAACGAGGGTATACAAAGCACGGCATATGTGCACAAGCACGCTCATGTAGCTCGGTGTTGTATAACAGTAGAAGGCGTCTATGGGCAGCAGGCCTGAATAAGCATCGAACGGAAATTAATTAAAAATATTCAGTGTTTCGTCCCATACACAACATACACTTTATTTATGTTAAACAACCACAGATTCTAGCTCTATATTCCGCTCGAAACTTTTGTCAGCTATGATGCACATTTCTACAAAGTAATCGGATCTCGGGGGTCACTCCCATACTAAAATGGGACGCATGCTCGTCAGAGAAAACGCCGAAAGGGTGTTGGATTTTGACCCTGTATCGTCGACGACGTCTTTAAAAAAAGGGGTATCTTTTTAGGTTAACATTCGACGTTTAGTGTCATTTTTCGCCTACTTTTTCGGCCGGTTTTCGTCATTCGATTCGCCCATTTATTTCCGTGTTTACATTCTCAAATGGATTCTCTCCGGGTTTTCTAGTCTCAAAGTCAAACTCTGATGGGCGTTATGCGAGTATGCGAGTATAAGTCGAGTATGCGCATTATACGTGCCCGCCCGGTGCCCGATATATGTGCCATACGTGGCCATAATAAACCAAAATAAAGAAATGAATCAATATAGCTTCCAGTGTATATCTCATTCTCACCAATTGTCATTACACAATTAACATGATTAAGGGCCCAATTTATTGTGCTACGCCATTTAGGGGGTTCGTTTCAGTGTCTTATGCCATTTTAGACTGGTAGCCCTTACTCGCTCCCACCTCGATTACTCGATGATCACTCGATACCTAAGCCGAGAGGTGGGACCGGGTACCAGTCTAACGCCATTTAGGGGTAAGATTTACATTATCTTACGCCAATAAGTAGTGAAATTTGCTACCGCTGAATACGTCTTTTAGGGTCCAATTTTGAGATGCTTTGATGAGCATGCGTACCACTTTAGTATGGGAGTGACCCCTCTACCCCCCCCCTCCAAATTCGGATTCCGTTTCATACACAAAATGGCCGACCGGTCACCATGGCCACTTGCCGGTATAGCACACTTACACGACAAGACCAATGTGACTTCTAACGCATCCTCGACGTCCATGAACAATCTAACTTGCGTGCATAATGCAAATTAGTGCACTCTTCTTAGTGCCGCATTTCACACACAAAAATGCGAAAAAGGGCTTTTTCTAGGACCCAAATAGTGCAATTTGCGGGGGGCTTACTGTTGTATACCCTCTATACACAACATGTACACCCATGAGCATGCACGTACACGCGTGGGTGTACACAACAATTACGCATACAGGCACTCACGCTCGCTTAGATATAAGCAACAACACAACGCATGCACTTCACGCATACAGGTATGCAGCAATCACGCACGCGCACAAGAGTGTAAACAGCATATTATATTATGCCTACGCGCGTGCGCATGCACGTAATTGCACACACGTGGGCATACGCACTTTCACGCACACATACAGGTGTACACAACTTGTGCAATCACGAGCACCCACGCATAGAGGCCTACGCGTGTAAAGGCCACATTTACACCTACGTCCAACCACGCACACGTTCGTGAACACGCGGTTATTACATTAATTGTACGCCTCATGCAGCCATATATCTCTATTAATAACTGCAGAAGCAGATAATATCCCCCTATCATCTACCCTATTATTTACTTCTGATAATTTCGAATATCATTTCATGAATTTCATATGGTTTCCCACAGGAACCTGGTCCGTTAATAAGTAACGAAACGCACCAGGAATACATCAGCTAGCGCTTCGACCATACAAACGAACATTCTCTGATCGACAGGTACGCACGCGGACTCACATAACACAAACCTGTGCCAGCGCACGTACACAGTAAGTAGCTCCTTATTTTTAAGATTTAAGCCCACGAAAATACAGCTAATGATAATAGCCGTTCCCGTCTAATAATAAAAGCCGCAATGTGTGTGACTCGCGGCACGGAAGCTTGTCCTCGGGTTTACAAAACACCCAAATCCATGTAGCACGCGATTTGATCGAAAACGATCTTCATATTTAAACTGGACAGCAATCCGTTACCTTTTATCGGCATAGCCATTTTGTTTTACTGTTTCGCACCACACGTGCACACACGCGCAAACACATTCGCACATGTACTGCACCGCGAACCTAGTTATGGTAAATGGTGATTTTCAGGCGTTTGATAAATGTATATAATAATAATAAGCCCACATAAAAAGGTATGGTATTGGTGGGTCAAATTTAAAAGACTACCGGGCAGTCTGCTTCCCAGGATTTTCTGCGTGGATCCAGGCTCTTGCACTGGGATCCGGGTCACAGCACTGAGATCCACAATCCAGCAATGAGATCCGGCACACAGCATCGAGGGCTGGAACCCAGCATTAAGGTCTATGGCTCAGCACTATAAGGTCTGGGTATTAACAGTGAGGGTTGAGTCCCAGCACTAAGATCCAGGGTCCAACACTGAGATCCATGACCGAGAAATTCCAGAGTTCGTTGCAGCGTAAACATGTAAACATGTACCGTGCCTGAAGTTGCTATAAATATTTTGTAAATGTTTTGTAATTTGTGCGCGCTGGGAATGAATATAATTTATGCCTTAATTAGCCTTGCATGTTGCGTGCTGATATAAATATAGAGCGACGGGTTTAGCTGTCGGCAGTTAAAGCGTTGCCGTTTATACTTCGAATTGAGTTGGTTAGCGCAAATGCAAGTTTGCACAATTGCGCTGTAACAGTTTTACATGCTATACTATTACGTTATCTAAAGTAATACTGCGTTCTCGTCATTCTAAAGCCGATAAATGTATGACTGTATGACCCACAGAACACTAATTTGTAATATCCTATAACAAGTCGCTTGTCTAACCATGTAAATGCACGCCTACACATTCACTCACTCACTCACTCATACACACATGTGCGTACACACACGCACACGCACACTCGCGCGCACACACACACACACACACACACACACACACACACAC